CAAACATATATAAAGAGGGAAGTATTTAGAGATGCTGCTACCAGGACTTTGAAGCTCTTTCTGGGCAATCTTATTATATATATAAATACACAGTTTTGTATTGATGGTATCCTACTATACCCAATGACTTTCCAGCTTACAGTTTCATTGGATAATTTATTAAGGAGATACTTCCTGTCAAAAAATAAAATTTATTTCGGTTTATAATAGGCACTTGGTAAGACGCAGGTTCAATCCCTGAGTGAGGAAGATCCCCTGGAGAAGGAAATGGCAACCCACTTTAATTTATGAGTATTCTTTCTGCCAAACCAAGAAATTTCCACATTATAAGCAAGGTCAGCTTACTAGAATCCAGTTGGCAGAGGGAAGGATGACATTTTGAACTCCTATTCTTCATTCGGTGAATTGACCCTTCTACAAAGTGTTGAAAGAGGGGAAAGGACGTTTTCAGAAGGGGGCAGCGAGTAGAACCAAAGGCCCCTTCGCTCCTCTTGGCTCCGGCCGTCACCACGTTGGCCAGTGCAGGCTCACTCCTGGTGTCTCTCTCCTGAATGCAGTTTCAGAAACAGAAGCTTGCAGGATTTTGTTTTGAAGAATTTTCCTGCTGGCCAAGGATGGGCCAAAGGGGAAACTCCTTTCACCTAATGTTCTTGAAATAGGATTTTAGAGTCTGCCTCTGGTCCTTTAAGGCAGTTTCAAGCCCTGGTCCAAATTGGGATGCTTACTGATTTAATGTTTCTTTTTCCCAGCCGAATACCTGGCATCTTATACATAAGTAATCCCTCAAAACCTAACTACATGAAATAAACATGACTACATGACTATATGAAATAAAATCAGGCTCCTCCTCCCTGTAAGACGACATATTCCACCTTGGTTTGCTTTTCCAACCCTCCCAGTTTTCTTTAGCTTTCCCACTATCATCAAAACCTTATCACAAGAAAAGATTTGAAATCAATTTACACTAAAGTATCGATAAAAGTAATTGATGATGGCTGAAAGTGCTTCCTTCCCCAGAGAGATCTGAATAAAAATAAAGCCCCAGACAAAGTGTTTGCAGTACCCCTACCATCTAATGACAAGCTTTATTGAGGAGAGAAGGAAAGATTTCTTCTGAGTGTTGGATGAGGAGATGAGAGTGACTTGCCAAGCAGAGAGAGAATACTGCTATTGAACATGTTATTCTCAGGTCAACTATCTGCAAGATAAGTGAATATATTATTTCCTACATATATTTATTTAGTGAGTGTATACTTCAGTACTAAAGTACTTCAGACACTTCAGTCGTGTCCGACCCTTTTGTGACCTCAGGGACTGTAGCCCGCCAGGCTCCTCTGTCCATGGGATTCTTCAGGCAAGAATCCTGGAGCATGTTGCCGTTTCCTCCTCCAGGGAATCTTCCTGACCCAGAAATTGGACACCCCCTGCCCCACCGTCTCCTGTGTCTCCTTCCTCTAGGCAACCCACTCCAGGATTCTTGCCTGAAGAATCCCGTGGACAGAGGAGCCAGGTGGGTAACAGGCCACAGGTTGCAGGAGTCAGCCAGGATTGAAGCAACTAGACACGCGTCCTTGGTTTAGTGAGCCAGTACTTAACCAAAGATCTTCAGACTAGCACCCCCCAGGGATCCAGAATGTCTCCACACTTGGAGAGCTTCTAGTATTTTTAAAGTTAGTTGGGTCTGTGGGGAAAAAAGAAACTTCCCCAAGATTTCATGTAGGTAGCAAGCAGAATTTTGTGCAGTCCAACACAAAGAAAAACAGAGTCTTCTAGAGATCTCTGGAATATGGTAAAGCAATTAAGCAAGAATGAAACATTGTAAAATTGTCAACAACACAAACTTCTTTATCTCTTAGCAAACAGAGTAAACCCAGACCCACACGGATGCACGTTATTTGGATGATATGAAAGGAGCAAACTGTCTAACTGCAAATCATGTGAACTTCTCCCCTAGACTGTTTGGGTCTTATGCTATCCAATCGTATAAATAAGTACACCTCAAAGATAACCTGATACCAGCTGATACCTTTACTGATCAGACTCCATCTTGAAATGCGCCTCCATTTTTAATCAAACACTTCTTCCTTTTGTGTATAGAACACACCCACACCTATTCTTACCATCTACTCAATAGAAAAATATAAACATCTCTGCCAAATCAGTATTTTGAATAACATTATACTATTTATTTCAGCCTTACAGTGCTAAAATTTCATACTGCAGTGCCATCAGTATAAAAGATGTAACTCTGGCTTTTTATTTTTTAATTTTTTTGGCCTCAACCAAGCAGCATATGGGATCTTAGTTCCCCGAAGAGGGATCTAACCCCTGCTCCTAGCATTAAAAGCGTGTTTTCTTAACCACTGGACCACCAGGGTAGTCCCAACTCTAGTTTTTTTTTAAATAATTTTTTATCTCTAGCTCACCAAGATTTGTTAGTATTGTCTGAGTTAACTTCTAGAGCTGACATCTCAAGGATGTTTTGGGTTGAATCATTCAGTGCTACATAAGAGTTATTCTGAATACTTGCTCTAACCTTGCCTTCTTCTCTGTCTGGTTCTATTATGTCTCAGAACAATGGGCCATTATAAGTGCTGCTTTTGAGTAGATGAAAGTTATAAAACAGACCTGAGCTGATTGGATTTTGACATTGACTTTCGAACATTACAATACTTCCCCACCTTTAAAAATAATGCCTTGCACAGCTATTCTTACACGTGATCTACAGCTATGCTCCCCAGAGAGTAAAATCATTTTCTGAAAATCTATTTCAGAACCTGGTCATGGCATGTTAGAGAACTCAGTCGTTCTCTAGTAAACCTAGTAAAATGAAGTCCCTTTTGCAAGTGAATAATCAATCCTCCCTTCCCAAATACACTTGTTAAGTCAAAATTTTCAGTTTTCTTAAAGCATGGTCTTTTCACACCATATGTCCATTTTGTAAGACTTCAAATTCCCTTTCTTGGTCAATTATCTAGAAACGATTGATTCCAAACCCATCCTCCAACCCCTGGGGTTCAACTCTATTTTTCAAATTTCCAGTTTATCATCTCCTTTTCAATCACATATTCATTTGTGCTCACCAGCAGTGGATTGTGCACACACACACACATACTCTCTTTCACCTCTGAGTCATCACAATTCCAGCAGACTCACAATAGAGTTCAGAACCTGTCGCCCACATCTCACTGGGAGCTAAGGAGCCATAAGACAGCTTTCTCCTCTCGTAAATGTCAAGTGTCCAGCATGCCTCCACTGGGGGCTGAACAGAAATATAACCTTAGAGAAATCAGTCTTTGGGTCTGGGCAAAGCTCCGAGAATTCTGAGTCCACAGTCTGCTTTCTCTGTAAGGGTGTGATTGGTAGTTTCAGCTTCCTCTCTCATCAGGCTTAACTCTATAGCACCGGGTTGGTGTCTGACTTGCTCTCATTGGGTGGGGAAACCCCTGAGACAGACCGAAGGAGATGTTCAGTTTTGTCTTAGGAGTAGCCCACGGAGCTGTGGGTATGGGAGAAGGGATTCTGGTGGTCTTCCTCCAAAGGTTTCTTTTTTTGCTTGTTTTAAATTTGTGGAAACATCCATTTATTAAACCTGAAGTAACTTCTTAAATGCAGCTTCTCTCTTCTCAACCCAATAAGCACATACCACACCACACTTATTACTAATTCTGCTTGTCAACAAAGGGTACAAGAGGGTCATGGAAAACCCACTAGAGATCTTGTATTTGACTATCATTATGGCTTTGATAAGCAGATCTCAAAGTGTTGTGCCTAAAAATCCTTACTGAGGTTTGGTAGGGAGGATGTATCACCAGAATAAGCTCAGGTATCAAAACAAAGTTTCTTTTTGCTGTTAGGTTTATTTTGTTACATTCAGACAGAGAAGATTGCATTTAGGCAAACTGACATGATGCCAGCGGGAAATCTGACCAAACAATCAGAGGTGGAAGAGGAAGAAAGGCCAGGAAAGAGGGAGGGGATGAAATCAAGCATTCACTCTGTATTTTACCCCAGAAAACAGCCCGCAATTATAATTACCCACCTTGTTCTGCAGCTCAGAATAAAAGTGACGTTGCACCAAACCCTACCCAAGCAGCTTGTCCTGATTAGAAAGTACTCCACACCTTGGAGAACCAAGGAGACACGAGCGAGCGCAATTTTAAATGCAAATTAAACTGAGGGGGTAGCAGAGAGAACACATAAAAGACAGTAAAACAAAACCTTTCAGTTTTCTTAAATTAGCAGTCTAATGTGTTCTAAAGAGCAGCTCCCCTCAGATCTCCTCTTAGGGGCTGCATTTCATCACAATGTAAAACGGGCAGATCCGTCACTTGCCTCTGCTCGGTGCTCTTGAATTGAGACTGAAGGGAAAATTAGAAGCTGTTCATTTGGGCTTCTGGGCTCAGCAGCGTTGCACAGCTTCGTCCTATGCTCAGCCGTGTCCTGTCGAAAGGGGCCAACAAGTGCTGGTGAGTATCTGCTAACTTCAAGACTCTTCCTTTCATTTATCTTTTGGGGTTTCACTGGCCTTTTGGAGGGGGGAAATCTCCCAAAAGATTTACATTACAATGCAGCTTGCAAAACCTAGGAAATTTCAGACAGCTTTTCAAGCTTCTTGCAGTGACTGATTCACAGAAGGAAGAGAGAGTTATTTTCAGCCTAGATGCTGGTGACTGATCCATGTATTAATTATAACAGGGGAATGTTTAACAGATGCCAGCTAAGATGGCCTGTCCCCACCACCCTCAGCCAGCATTAGGGTAAGGACTGTTACCCCGACAACTTTTCTACCATATTAACTGTTTAATCGTGTGTTCCTGTTGTAATTGCAAATAAAACTGGAGCTTGAAGCTCTAAAAATAATTAAACCAAAACCATTTTTTAAAATGACAGTTCTCTGCCTGAGGATGAGTGGCAGCGGCCGGGGGTGGGGATGGGGGTGGAGATGGGGCGGGAGATATGGGGTATTGGACCCGCGTGATGGTGACATGTAGATTTTGATGGTGATGGTTTTCTGCCAAAGTTTTACACGGGAAGCTGGTCATTTTCTTCCTTCGCAGTGGAGGATACAAAGAGTCTGGGGCTGGCGTCACCTTCTGTTGCTAAGGTAACATGCTCTGGCCATTTTATCTGATAAAGAAGTCCAGCAGACGGGTATACCTTATTCATCGCCAATCTAATCAAACAATCAAAATTGTTTACTTTCACCGGGAATATTTAGTGAGATCAAAGACACTCTGACTGAAATTGCTCTTACTGCCGGCAGTTAACCCTTGATATTTTTTTTTCTCTTTTTTGCAGTAAGTATGATTTGCTGTTGGGGTAGCTTTTGGATATATTTAAAAGTTTCCTTCTACCAGACTTGGCTTTTTAAAATATGCACTGTTAGAAAGAAAAACGAATTAGATTATCCTTCTGAGTTTGATTTTAATTACTTGGTCTTGTTACTTCTTTCCAAAAACATCCTGCAGAAATAGATACTACATTTGTGCAAGTATCTGAGAAAGGCTACATATGCTAGAAAGAACTTAACAGGCTGGTTTTTTTTTTTTTTAATGAAATATATTAGCTTCCTGACAGGCGTGATAATATTATGGGGATCATTGCAATTCGGAAATAATTGCTGGCTCTCGGCAAACCAGATTTCTTTCTCACAAGCAGCCTGTGTCAGAGGCAAGCAGGTGATGGTCCTTGGCACTTTACAAAACGTGCTGGAGGAAATTACTACAAGGAAGGAATGCGAGGCATTTTTACAGCAAACATGTCAGCATGTGTCATACATGCAAGGCATCTGTAAGTGGAGGCTCTGATTCCCAGGTTAGTGCTCACTGCTCAAGGGGGATTGGAACTCCCTGGATCAATTGAGGATCAATGCTCAGAACAGCTGATACTTAATGATATCATTTATCAGACAGACCTTTTGAAAACAGCATGAAAATTTAAAAGCTTATTTTCCAGTTAATACACAGCAAAGAAAGACTGGTATGTTATCTCTCTTTAACCTGGATCACCTGTATTTTCTGAGTAGAATATATCACTTTTAACAAATGTTGGTGAAATGCTTCATTTTCTCATACAATAGGAAAGCTCTGTTGACAGATGGACTTAAAACTGGAAATGTCAGTCAAATAATGGCATATTTAATGGGATATTTCTTATCCCCAAATCATATTTGACAGTCTATAGTATTGTGGATTTTTTTTTTTCTCTCCCATAGGCAATACAAGTGACTATTTTGCCTTAAAACTCTTGTTTCGGGAACATCAAGCATGGATTATCCCAAAATGGATTATTTTCTGGATGTGGAGTCTGCACCCAGACTCTTGGATGTTGAGTCGGCTCAGAGATTCTTCTACAGCCAAGGAGCTCAAGGTAATTAAAGACAGAGAGGAAACTCCTCTCATTTGCATGTTGGTTTTATATTAACAATGCCCTGTGGACCTGGCAGTGTAAGTTATGCTGCGGGGAGTTCAGCAACTGGGATTTCCCAGTTGGTAACCCTTACCGAGCTGTTTCCGGCATGGAGACAGGCATACAGCAAAATGAATTAACCTAAACTTCTTAATTTAGTTCAAAAGCAACCTACCCAGCTTTTGTACAAATGCCCCTTGGAAAGCTATGTTAGAAAATGATGCCCCCACCTCGTTGCAACCAAAGTGTAAGTCTGAAAGACTTCAAGGATGCTTTTAGCCCCAGGAAAAGGTGGAGTTTTCAGCCTCTGAACTGGAGAAGATCAGGGCACCCTGACCTCTCTGTCTGAAATCCAGTTGGATGAGAGGCTCTGGAGAGAGGCTTTGAACTCCTACAAACAGCAGCCTTATCTATTTTAGATGAATTCAGTTACAGACTCAAGGAATCAGCAGTGTCCCTGGGGAGCACAAAGGAACACGCCTGTTGTGAAGTGTGGCTGATGTATACATTTAAATTATAGATTTTAAGATGGCCAATTAGGCTCCAGTTTGCTTGTTCTTCTGTTCCAGGGTGTGCTTAGAATGTGGTGCGTGCACACTGAAGTACAGAATGAGGCTGGGGCATTGCATGGGCTCTCCCGACAGGCAGGAGAGGTTTTTAAAGCCTATTTTCCCTTTTCTGTGGAATATTTAAGGTAGTCAGGAAACCTGAGCATGGGTATATCCCAAATGGTACAGGTAACCCAGCAAGAAAGGCAATGTCCCTGTTCTTAAATAGAGAAGCAGTCGAATTCTTGGAACTCACGAGGGAGAACTAAAAAGGATAGATGCTGTTTTGAGAAAGCTGGCATCTTTCACTGTTATGTGGCAATGGGCACTTCACACAGGGCCCTGGTGACTTCTGCTTTGCCCAGCTGTCTCTTCTTATTTGGTTTTACCTGGCTCTCATGCCAAATTCTGACGGCAACTTCAGTGGCTTGCAAGCCGCCTCCTCCTCCGCTTCCATTTCCTGGATAGGATCCAGTCTCAAAGGCAACAGAGACTGGTAATTATCTGGCTGATTGGTTTGGGTCAGTACACACATCAGCAACAGCTAATTCTCCTCATCCCTGTGGGTGTGTGTAGTCAGCATCGCTCCTCTCAGCCCCTGAAAGAGACCTGAGAATGTTACTGAGTTAGCAGAAGCCTGAGACACTGGCCAGATCCTCCAGCGCCTTCTGGGTCTGGAAGTAAGAAGCTGCTAGCAGCAGATGGAGACGGAGGTCAGAAGAAAGAGGGGAGCTGAGGCAGGTCTCCGGTTCTGTGTTGTCACATTGCTGCATCTGTCCACTCCATTTGAACAGGAGAATAATGCTGGTGCCTGGGGGTCATGCACCTGAGCGGCATCCCTGTTAGCAGAGCAGAGAAAGGGAGCGAATCACAGGTACTAAAGATGCCCATCTTGCCTTGCAGGAGACCCGGCTTAAGCCTTGAAGAGCCGTGGGCTCCAGGCACTGACGGAAGGAAAGCAGTCAGGGTGTGGGAGGCTGAGGACTCCAGGCAGCCTGGTGGTTGTCGGCAGATGGAGCCGGGGGTGGAGTGGTCAGAACTGTCGCCTTCGGTGACTGTGGTTTAGACCCAGAGCTGGGAAGCCTGGAGCGTGCACGGGAGGTGGTGGCGTAAGCTGCCTCAGCCCCCTGACAGGACGTTCATTTGGGGATAATCAGAATGATGTTCCAATGAAGGAGTCGTGGATCTGTAGTAAGAGTGGGGGCCCCCTAAGCAACAGCCAGGTGGGTTTTTCATAAACCCCCTGACTTCTTGAATCAGAAATCCGAGTGTAAGACCTAGGGGTTTGCATTTTAAGTAAGAGGTCCAATGACGATTACCCGGATATCCCACTATTCTGTGGGCTAGCATTTAAGAACCAGTCCATTCTGTCTGATTTCTCTCCTTCCACCCCAGGACGGGGCCACTTTCCTCACCATTAGAGGCAGGATGACACAATGGTTACAACCGGACCCTGACTGCCTAGGTTCAAACCCTGGGTCTGCCACAGTCAACCTGGGAAAACTAACCTCTTTGACTTTCAATGTCCTCCTCTGAAAAATGGAAACACTGCTGTTGTTCAGCCCTTCAGTCATGCACAGTGCCCAATCCATGAGTTGTTAAGAGCACTAATAAGGTAAGATTTGAAAATTCTTTCAACCGCCACATGGGAAACACCATACATGAGGAAAGCAATAAAATATCTTTGCAAAAGGCTGTCCCTTCTCTGAGATTTGAAAGGAAGCCACTGCCTTACAAACAAAAGTGCTACCTGATAAGAGTGAACCTCCTATTATTTTTTAGCACACACACACAAAGTTAATTTTAAGTAAATTTTAAAACACGGTGATTATTTTCTTGTCACATCAGAAGCTAACTTGGGACAAAACTGAAAAACAGGGAGTACCAAGAGAAACTCCTATCCTTCCTTTCACTTTAAAACTGAGAACCCCTCTCCCACCAACAGCTTCCCCAGAGCCCCGTGGCCTCAGACTAGTCGCCCCCAGGTCTCTTGGCTGGGGAGTGCCTTGCTGCCACTATGAATTGTCGGTGCATTTTTCCAGCTCGCTCACAGCAGCTTCCTTCCACTTAGTACAGACACCACGTCCCCTGGATCACAAGGCCCTCCGCCCGAAAAATGGGACTCCAGTGAATGGGCAGAAGGCTGAGGACCATGGCTTACACCCTTTCTAAACCAAATGCACAGGTGGTAGAATCGATGTCTAAGAAGCCAATGGCAAGGCCCCCAGGACCAGGGAAAGGAGTGCAGGACAGCGGCTGGCTTGAGAAAGGCGTGTGAAGCAGTCAGGGCACTGTGCTGCTGCTGCTATATCACAATGCACAGCAGCTTTCTCCGCAGCCAGCCCAGCCCAGCCCAGCCTCAGGGGGATGTTAGCGAGGTCGAGTAGCCCCCACTGGATACCCTCTTCTATAAAGAAGGCCCACATGGAAATATCGTGTTAAGTACCTGGAATGTGGATGACCTAGGATTTGGGTGGCTAAACTGATGTATGATTATTGCCTTTTACTGGGTTGTCCATTCTTGAGGCAATGCAGACTTGTCAATAGACTGATCAAGGACAGGTGTAAGCACTTTAAAGGGGAAAGCAAGAAAATAATTTTATTTTCCACACATTACTATCCTTGCACCAGTTGAGGTACAAATTCATAAATTTTGGGAGAAACAGCCCTCCTATATTAATTACATGCAGAATGGCTATCCAAGGCAACAATAAGAATTGCACTGTTTGTGACCCCATCATGGTGGTTTTTCACTTTCTCTTGGAAAGTGGCCAAAAGCCTGTCCCTAGGTAGAGAATATTTTAAGCTACTAAAAGCAAGAGGAATCCAGAAAGATAAGAAAAAGAAAAAAGTGACCTAAGATCTGTCCTGGGACAGATTCTGCTGAAATTCCCAGAGAGTTTTTAAAAAGTCAGTCCCCTGCGCTGCTGAATAAAGCAGGCTTGTTATTCCCCCCTCTCCATTTTCCCTCGGTTTGATCTCGAGGTGGGGAAGATGAGCCTGCTTCTCCTGAGGGATTCTGCCGTAGAAGGCGTGCTGTGTTAACAAGGAGCAGAAAAAACGTCCAGAGTCATCCTGTCCATCTCCTGCCAGTGAAGGATGCCCTCCCGGTTCACCTGTGATGCTCCTTCAACACTAAATACTGCTCACACAGGGAGTCCTGCAAAAGTCCCCATTAACGCAAAAGGAGAATTGTGGAGGCTGAAGATGCACGTGATATAAAGACCAGTCACGTCTTGACATCACATAACTTGCGATCACCCATCTTTCATGTTTCTGACAATGATCTCCCACACACTCAGTTTCAGAGCCATAATTTTTTACATAAGCTGGGAGGGAAATCATAAAAATCACAAAATTGGCATCACAGGATTTCACGTTGAAATGAACACTATAGTTCAGTGATTTTTCTCTACCCTCTCCCTAAACCAAGCAATCCAGAATTGGTAAGGGCTTGACTCAGGTCCCAGTGCTACATTTTACACAAGCTGCTGGGTTATTCTGGTAGACCCCGAAGGTTGAGAACTAGTGTTATGAAGCATTAATAACTCAGCTCAGCTCCAGACTAGCAGCCTCTGTGTCATCAGGGAACTTGTTAAGAATGCCAGAATCTCAGACATCCTAGACCTAGAGAATCGGAATCTAAAGTTAACAAGATGGTGAGGCGAATTATGCTGAAGTTTGAGAGGCAATGATTGAACCTAGAGCACATTAGAAACACCTGGCAAGCTTCTGTGGCCTCAAGGCTGGAGTCCTGGGACAAAACCAGTTAAGTCAGAATCCTTGGTGTGAGTCCCACACTTAGGAATCTATCAAATTATGCCAGGTGATTCAAATGTGCAACCAGGGCTATGAACTTCTGACCTCCCATTTCACAGGAAAGGAGGTTTTAGCACAATCATGCAGCTATTCTTGCCTGAGGATCTTTCTCTATCTGTGTCTTTCCCTTTAAAGAAATCCAAACCATTGGAAAGGTGCAAGTGGACTTTTTTTTTTAAAGACTGGACTACGCATCAGTGCTGCATTCTGTATATTCACTGTATCTATTAATCTTCAAAGAAATTTAGCAAAAGTGGAGTTATAATGCTCACTTCACGGATTAGAAAAGACTGTACATTTAAATCCCCTGGAGAAGGGAATGGCTACCCACTCCAGTACTCTTGCCTGGAGAATCCCAAGGACAGAGGAGCCTGGGGGGGCGACGGTCCATGTGGTATCAAAGAGTTGGGCATGACTGAGTGAGCACAAAANCTCCTCTGTCCATGGGATTCTCCAGGCAAGGATACTGGAGTGGGTTGCCATTCCCTTCTCCAGGGGATCTTCCCAACCCAGGGGTTAAACCCAGGTCCCCTGCATTGCAGGTGGGTTCTTTACCAACTGAGCTATGAGGGAAGTCTTTTTCAGTCTTTAGCTTTGAGTTTAATGTACCATAAACCTGAAGTCTAAACCCCTGGGACTTCTTCATATGGCCCCAAGAGACAAAAGACATTGGGTTGCACTCAGTTGTTTGCAAATTGTTAACAACAGTCATTTGCACAGAATGTGATCATGCCATTTTCTTTTCTTTCTTTTCTTTTTTTTTTTGGTGGGGTATTAGTTCCCTGACCCGGGATTGAACGAGCACCCTTAGCAGAGAAAGCACGGAGTGCTAACCACTGGAGAACCAAGGAGTCCCCAGGGCCTTCTATTTCCTTTCCTGGTGTTTATGACCCAGCTCCAGTGTCGCCGCCTCTGTGAGGTCTTGCCTGACTTTTTCAGGACTTTCTCCATAATATCCTGATCAGCTTGTATTATAGCCACTAGTGTATTATATTATTCTGCTTCCACCCCTTACTGGATGCATGAGTTCATGTAGATGACTTTACTTCTCTATGCCTCGGGGTCCTAATCAAAATGCATATAATACTAGATCCACATTCATAGGGGTTTCTGAGAATGAAGGAGGTGTGCTTATGAAGTGCTTGGTACATTGTTATTATTGATTAGTTACTGAAGCTCTTGTTTTGTTATTTGGTGCCTGTTTGCCTACATAGATGGTGGTGATCTTAAATACCATATTCTGGATGCCTAGTACCATCCTTGATATACAGTAGAAGTATTAAGATTTACTAAAGGTCTCTGTGGAACTAAAGGAATGAAAATGCTTAAATCTGCATTACAAAGAGAAACTTGGGATTCAAGGAAAGGACTTTTGACAATTCATGATAGAGAAAATAAAAACTCCCTAAGACCTTTAAAGAATTTAATCTTTAGTTGGAAATAGAGACTCTGCTTAAGGCTGAGGGGAGGGACAGGCAAAATTAATTTTCAAATACATAGAGATGCAGGAAATGGAAGAAAGTCATCAACTCTGATATACCTTCTATAAAGCTGGGGGAAGAAAGCAAAAGCAAAAAGAAAATACAGCAGGAGGGAGTTGGTGCACTATTGGAAAGAATTAACCTTTTAAAATAGATTTCCAGGGGTTCCTGAACAGTACCCTTCTAAGAAGGACTTTTTAATATACAATAGTCTGTGAAGGCTGAGTTTTTATTCTGCCTAAAAGTAGAATTCTGGAAGGCTTGAGCCCCTCAACATTTACTCTGATGAACTTACTTGAGATCAAGTCAAAGGCTGCGCTGAACACGTTCCAGAAACTAGCTCTGGGCTGACCTTTAGTTGAGATTCCTTTCTCCTTCCTTCTTCAGACCTTTACTACCTCGGCAAGTCCTAATACTTTGGGACTGATTAATCCTCAAACTGGCTACCGTTCATACTCCTGGGAGGTGCTGTGGATGCCCACCTAAGCCCTACACGGGAGCCAGAGACCAGAGGACCACTCACTGAAGGCCTGGCCATGTTTCCAGAGGTCTTGTTTGGCGGGTGCCGGGTTATCTTCCTGCTCCACGATTGCCCCCTAAAACTTTAATATCGTGGTCTTACACAAAGCTCGTAATTTGCTCTTTAAGGACTGAGGCAAAAACAGTGATTCTAAAGCAACTGTGTCCCCGTGTGGGGGCACAGTTGCCAACTAAATTGTAATCTTTTCCATTCACCCATCTTCTCCTCAGAGTTCTGCTAGGACCAGCACGGCAAAACTGGCTGCATCTTTTCTGTGTCTTCATGGTGATGTCCTTAACCAAGTAGTTAACATGTCATCAGACTGCTTTTCAGACCCTTGTCTCTGAGAGGTGCTTCAGGTGACACTTTTCTTATGTAGTTTCCAGCCTTGTTTTTGTGATGCTGAAGTTATCGCCCTCAATAAATACTCACTTTGGGGGATTTTTCTGGTTGTTTTTTTTTTTCCTCTCTGTAGCTCTAGCCAGGAAGCAGCCCGCTGTGCTTCACTCATGGATGACAAGCTAACTACCAAGCCTTCCCTCTTAACCTCCCACACACTCCATTTTAGACCTCTAATTGCTCACATTCAGGCTCTCCAAACCTGTGTTTAATGCAGGGAACATTGTGAAGGAGAGGGTGAAGGCAGATCAAGAGGGAAGATATTGTGGAGATAGCCAGCCTGTCAATTCCGTGCATGTGTAGATGACCATGAAGCCCAACCTTCCGTTTCTGGAGTGTGCCCTTGAACAGGACGTTTCTCTGCACATAAAGTAGCCGTCTTGGTGCCGTCCATTTACATCACCTGGCTCTCCATTGCTTTCTGTGCCTTTGCCCCCAGCAAGCACCTGCTTTGTCACACACTGTGACTCAGGGCTCATAAGTAGGGCATAAGGACAAGAGGCAAGAGAGAAAAGATGAGAGGATGAGGCACAGAGAGGAAGAAAATCATATGAAAATACAGTAAAATAACTCTGCTCGATTAATAGCGCCTGCTTTCACATACAGCATACAGAGAGTGGACTAAAGACGCAGCCCACATACAGGCAGCATCAGTTATGACCCAATTAGCATAAACAATTCACAGGTGCTTGGAAGAAATTCTCACTCCTCACTGCTCAAACAAATCTGTTCCTAAAAACTTTCAGTACTGCCCTCTCTAACTGAGCTGGCAGAAGCAAGGACAGAGAGCCTAATGCTTCAAAATCAGCTCATGGACAATACCATTTTTAATATTTTTGAGAATATTTTAATAAACAATTAGACCCACATAATTATACTTGGATAGGGGAGCCTGGTGGGCTACAGTCCATGGTGTCACGAATAGTCCGACACGTCTGAGCAACTGCTATTACTACGGGATGAATATTGGTATTAAATCGGACCTCTGAAATGTTAGGACTGATCAGAGAGATTATCTTAGAGATCTCTGTACCTTTTCTCAATCATAGAAGCAAAATGTGCTCAGACGCTCAGTCGTGTCCAACTCTTTGCGACCCCATGGACTGTAGTCTACCAGGCTCCTCTGTCCATGGGATCCTCCAGGCAAGAGGACTAGAATGGGCTACCATTTCCTCCTCCAGGGGATCTTCCCACAGGAAGATCAAACCCATGTCTCTTGCATCTCCTGCATCGGCAGGTGTGTTCTTTGCCACCAGCACCACCTGGGAAAACCAAGAGCAAAGCAAGGCTGAAATATTAAGGGGTTTGGGGGAAATGGAAAGGAAAATCACCCCTACACATCCATTTTAATTTTTTATTTTACTTTCAGTTTCAAGCACATTCATATTTTTACAAAATTACGGTTATGGCATATGCAAAATTGGAGGTATGACTGAAATCTTTCCCAGGGCTGGAGAAGAATGTCATAATATTTTAGGGCTTGGGTTTTGGAATAACACAGATCTGAGTTCAGACTGTGATTTTCACTTTTCAGCTTGTAATATTAGGCAAGTTATTTACTCTTTTTCCTTCATTTTTCCCTTTTGAATGCAAATGATGATAATTCTCAACGCAAAGGGTTCTTTGAGGGTTGAAATGAAGCAATGTTTCCCAAACTATGGTCCAATATGCTTTTCAGGAAATACTTGAACTTTTTTATACTAATTCATTTTATTGTGTTTGGAAAAGATGTAAGTGGAAAATTATTTAATTGAAATATAGAATTATGTAACCAGACTTCATATTTATGGGCTACTGCTTAGAATAAAGGGCTTCCCAGGTGTCTCAGCATTAAAGAATTTGCCTGCAATGCCAGAGATAAAGGAGGTGAATGTTCGATCCCTGAGTCAGGAAGATCCCCTGGAGGAGGGCATGGGAACCCACTCCAGTGTCCTTGCCTGAAAAATCGCATGGACAGAGGAGCCTAGTGGGTTACAGTCCCTGGGGTCTCTAAAAGTCAAACATTACTGAAGTCACTGAGCATGGCACGACTTAGAACAAAAGGGGGAAAAATGAGTGAAATCCACTTCAAAGTAATGAAGGAAAAACATTAAGTAAATAATAGTGTAGATGACACTTAGAGCTTGCAAAATCCGTACAAGTGATATAGAAGTGACTAACATTTGGAAACCCTCAACAAATAAATATGAAACACTAAGCAAAATGTCAAGTACCTAATATGCATTTAATAAATATTAGCTCTTATGTTAATTATCTTTTCGTCTTGTCAAGCCTCAGGGGAAAGTGGCAGGACCTCAAGCTCCCCAAGAAAACCCTTCACCCTGTGCCATCTCTGATCTTCTCTACCACCATTTATTCCTAATTCAAATTTTCAAGCCCTTAGCAAGGTGAAAGTGAAGTGAAAGAAGTGAAAGTATTAGTCGCTCAGTTGTGTCTAGCTCTTTGCCACACCGAGGACTGTAGCCCACCAGGCTCCTCTATCCGTATAATTCTCCAGACAAGAAGACTGGAGTAAGTAGCTATTCCCTTCTCCAGGGGATAGTCCTGACCCAGGGTCACGTGCATTGCAGGCAATTTCTTTACCATTATGAGCCACCAGGGGAGCCCCCGTGGCAGGGTGGAATAGTCTTAAAACACAAGAACAAGAAAAGCAACAAAACTTCAATTTTTAAATTAAGTCGCTAACAAATCCCAAAGGAATCCTCTTTATGATTTTACTACTGAGAATTTTTTTCCTGTAAACTCTCTTAAAACATTGTCTAGAGGGATCAGATGGGGAGGAAGGTGGGAAGGGGTTTCGGGATGGGTGACACATGTACACCCGTGGCTGATTAATGTCAAATTATGGCAAAACTCCCCACAGTATTGTAAAAAGTAATTAGCCACCAATTAAAAAAAAAAAAACACTGGCTAAACTGTACTGATTTCCTCTGAGTTTACAGCAAAGTCTAGTTTATCCAAATGTGGCTTCCAAGAGGTGATTTGAATGAATCAGCTTTAGGGAGGTTGAAATACATAAAGGGTGTTGACTGTATGGTGACAAATGGAAACCAAACTTTTCATGGTGAGCATGCTAGAGAGTATAAAGAAGTGAAAATATAATATTGCACCCACAAAACTTATATAATGTTATGAACCAATGTCACCTCAATTTAAAAAAATGAGTCAGCATTTACTTAGGAACAAGGAAATAGATTTGAAAGACTCTACTTCAAATCATATTTCTCTTTATTCTTTTGTTCCCTTAAGAAAACATGGTAATGTGAAGAAAGTGACATCAGAAAGTCCTGGAAGCTAATTCAATTCCAACTAGTAAACAGCCATGTGGCTGGTCATTCAAGTGACTGGACCTCTATAAGCCCTTGTTTCCCCATTTGCAAGATATCAACCATGCTTGCAATATTATTAGTATGAGCATAAAATGATGTAAATTTAGATAACAGATTCTCAGTGAATATTTGTTTAAGGAATAATTTGCCACAATAAGGAACGAGCACTAGTTGAATAACTGTTCTGTGCCTTCAAGAAGCTCAAAGATGATATAGTACAATAAAAAACACCTTTGTAGAAGCAAAATAAAGGGTCTAAAAGGGGAGAGAAAGTATCAGAGAATTGTTTTTGGAAGAGTTTGTACCTAAACTTCATGCTTCAGTCAGCACAATAGCAGTGCATTCCTTGCACAAAAAGCCAGCAGGGACAGGTCTTTCTGTAAGCAATTCAGTACGACTGGATCAGAAGACGCAAGGTGAAGGTGATACCTGAGATTGGAAAACAAAGTAGAGTTCAAAGGAAGAGACTTGAAACAACAGATTCAGAAATTTAGCATCTCTTCTGTAGGAAGCACAGAACATTTGAATGATTTCTAGAGCTCAAAGAGCTTCCAGATGCCAAACCTTGTTACATATCAGAAGCAAATTCTACAGCCCTTGCCCAGGTATACAGATCAGAATCTTTGAGAGTCAAGTGAGATAATACGAGTTTTCCTATTTTAAGGGGTGGTTTTGTTTTATTTTTACAGCTCTCAGATGCTTTTAATACAAACAGTATGAGGTATAGAATTTGACTAGTCTAATTCTTTACTTTCATAAATAAGGAAAATTGAGCCTAGAGAGGTAAATGAATGAACTGTAATAAAAATTTGATTATATTTATCCAAAATTCACTGTTTTTGGAACACTAACTATAGGCTCGGGATTCAAACTCAAGACACATCCCCTGGCCTCATGTAGTTAGCTATCTAATACAGAGGCAGATAAAGCAATGATTTCAGTCCCGAAAGATAAATGCTAGGAGAATCTGCACACTGGGAGTTTTGTTAGTACAGATGAGGGTATCCAAATGAGAGGGCTGTGCGTGTGTGTGTGTGTGCGCGAGTGTGCGTGTGTGCACATGTAGGGAGAAAGATGTGATTCTAAGTTAGTGTCCAAGAAAAGATAAAAACAGATCTGACAACAGATCTCCTCTGCATTAGATATCCTAAGGGATTCAGTATCAGGTTTGGAATTCCTAAGCATGCAAAGGCAGATGAACCGTCATCCTCACTGGATGGATAATGAAGCTGTTCACTGAGAAAGAAGAAAAGGGAAGAGTGTAAAGATGGAGATGGAGGGATTTCCTGGTAGTTCTATAAAGTTTGGGAAACCATCCAAAACATTTTATGTACCTAGGTAATTCCTAAAATAATTTCAC